GCTCCAGCGGCAGGCGCGCCGTCCGTTCCTGCCCGCCGCCTCCGGGCGCTTTCCTGGGACGGGGAATACTGTCGGCCGTTCTGACAGCTCTTCCTTCCTGACGTCGGGAGCGAGGAAATCAAGGTTTGGTGTTTAGAGAAGTTGCCTCAGAGTCGAACTTTCACGCTGTTTGTTAATCAGTTCTGCACCCAGTTAACTCTTACCTCCGCTCCTTAAACATTTCCAGAGTTACCAGTGCCGGGGCCTGGGGCAGCGGCCGCTCGGCGGGCAGGGCCGGGCTTTCAAGGCAACTGACGTTTTTCAACGCGGCTGTTGCAGTGTTCTCGAGGGCCAGAAGAGGACAGAGACGTTCTGATCACTTTTTTGACCAAGCCTCCAAAGACCAGACGGAAAAGCTGCATCTTGTCCCCTCCCCATAATATTAAAAGTTTCAAAAAGAACTAGTTTTATAAAAAGCTCTGAAATTTTTCGTGGTTTCTATCTTTAATTGTGAAAGAGAGAATAGATTTACTGCCAGTATTCCTGTATAAAAATGGACTCGCTGTTAATTCTTCAGATGCTTCCCAATCTGCAACTGTAAGATTACCACAGACCAAGATGGTACAATAAAACTGCTCACAGGAAGATTATAAAAGGATTTAAAAACCATAACTATGTAGTCTTAAACATTTAACAAGCAGGAGAAGTGTTGACAACTATACCAATATTGAAAATACCCATCCAGCTTTTCACTCGCATATCTGAAAACCACTATGACAACGGTGCCTGTGATGGTGGATTCTTCCTCTTTAGCAAGCGTTAGGCGCTCCTTTGTCTACAAATGGCAGATTAACAGTGAAATGAACTGGCAAATATCAATGTCTTTAGGATCAGACTATTAAAAAAACAAACAAAAAACAACTAGGGAAAAAGCCTCCATTTACAGGAGAGCAATGCATCTCAAATGGAATAATTGTTTCTGTGCTTCATAACTGTATCGGTTCCTCTTTCTTATCAAAATTAAAATGTTGGCAGCATGAGTTCTCAGATAGAAATGCCCTAATTCACCACTTTTTTTATACTGAGGACTAGCATACAGAAAGAAAATCGATAGCCGAGCGTGAAAAGTCCATACAGCACAGCCTGCCTCATCAGAGGCAGGTGGGTGGATTAATCCTTCTGTGCTGCTGGGGTTGTGCAAATTGTGGGATTTCTGCAGTTTTGAAGTTACCTACACTAAGAGAAATTGCCATGAAAAGTCTTACTGTCCAAACTTTCCTAGATGCTTCTCTCTTTTTTTTTTTTTTTTTTTTCCCATGTTATTCAAAGAGAATATAAAGATCTTTGAAGGCTTATCTGGGATTTCTGCATACACCTTTTACTTCCACAGCAGCAGGGCAGTAGACTTACTAGAGGCAATTAATTCACAGCATGTCCAATGCATAAATAGCACAGAGCACACACAAAACGATGCCTTTTCGAGATGTTTGACATATTCCGCAGGTGCACATCAAATGGAGAACATGTTTGATAAGCCAAGCTTTTCCCGGGGTGGGCTGGATCTCCTCACGCTTGCTGTATGAGGTGGCTCACACAGCACCACCAACACACGCAAGCCACAGCACACTTAGTACGCTTGTGCAAATTCTCTGGACATGTACATGTGGCACAAACCAGATATGCCAACTGCTGTACATTTATTAAACTACATGTGCAATGGTGAATCTGAAGCAGAAATATTTTTTACCCTTAAACCACCAAGGAATTCCTATCGATATTGCCCAAATTGGAGGATTCTTTCACTAAACTGGTTATCAATGCTTAAAACAGAACCACCTCAGAGCCAGAAGCAGCCCTTTTCTCATCTCTGAAGAAGCTGATAGAATTATGAAACTGAATTCAATCTAAAAATGTTTGTAACGGAAGATAGCTTTTTTGTTAAAATACCTATAGGAATACTTCAGAAGAGAGCAGGTTTATTGGGAAAACTATAAAACCCAGGAAGTGTAAGCCAATTAAGAAAAACATACAATTCATCAGAGTTAAGCATTTTCAGATGTTTGCAAATGGTACTTAGTGCCTGGTTTCCTATAACTGCTCTTCTTCTTTGCTAACTCTTTAAGAGAATGGAATAGAAAACAGCCTTTCTCTGCTCTGTAAAGAAGCATACCTGAGGCTTGAAATACATTGTGTATGAACTCACTATAAGCTTACCAGGAACACTGGTTAAAATGGTCTGTCACAGTCCTATTGATCCCTGAGATGTGTGGTTCAAAAGACCAGTACATTATGTGTTACACAGCATGGGCATACACATTCAAGCACATATACTTACTCTATTACAGTGAAGTTTATTTTTCTGTGGATCTTATACTTCCTTTTTATACGCACTGGAAATGCTTGAATCAAATCAAGAACCATGTTCCTACAAATTCAGTTACTACAGAGTACACAACATGCAACCAGCTCATGAATATTATTCAGTGTATTTGATGATTGCATATTTTGGAATTAATTTTGTGTATAAGCAGCGTATCTCACAGGTATCAGCAACTTTCCTAGCATAGATAAGCTGCTAGAAATGTGCATCCCCAAGTGACACTTCTCTTCATTTGGAGACTTTTTATGGAAAAAGCCAAGGAATTATTTTGCTATTGCACATGCATTTAATTAGCATAACACTCGCCTCTTTCAAATGCAAGTATGTTAAGTGGTACTTGATATGGATTTCCTGGTTTGTCTAACATGAGTATTTAGCAATCATCTTAAGTTCAGTCCACTAGAAGAACAAATTACATAGGAAAAACTCTTTTTCAAACAGCGTACAAATTCTGATGCTAAAAAGCAAATTGGGATGCTGCCAGACAAATGATTGCAGACACTGAAATCACAGGCCTAATAGTGTGTCTTTGACAAACTGGTCTCACAGCTCAGGTGTCCACTCCACCCCGGATGTATGGACATTTGAGCTGCCTGTCATTCAGCTCCTGAGCTAAACCACTGCTGCATTGAGTGTGATGAGTCAGGAGTGTAATAGGAAAGGTTAAACCCAAACCTTGCCTGAACTGGAGATACCTTGTACAACACTCTAGAAGTCCCAGAAGCCCTTATGAATGTCAGCCTGTTCCATCTACTGCCACCAGTGAGTATCAAATCTGACAGTTTGATAGCTTAGCAATACACTGGGGCATATACTGAAGGTCGGAGGGTCTACAGCAGTGCTTGTACAAGTGTTAGTAATGTAGATGAGGCCACCAACATAACAGCTAAATATATTAAAATCAACTGTTTGCTATGACAGATCCACATTAAGACATGGTAAAAATTCAGCACAGCAATATTTTCAGTGGGAAAAATCCTATTAATGCAACTCTGTAAGAAATGGCTGTACTATCAGACCTATAGTAGATCTTATAAAGTAGTATTTTCATACCTGGGGATGCTTTCCAAGAAAGCTTCCACATGTACACTATCTGTTTAAAGGAGGATTTCATCAGTTTCATTTGGAAACTGTACTTCTTTAGAGTTCAAGCTTCTTCAGCCAAAACCCAAGAAACTAATAGGTAACAGTCTTTCAAGTCAGCATCTAAGCAATAGGTTATAAAGAAATGAATGCAAGTATTAGGAATAATTTTATTTTACTTTACAAAGTATATGATCAACTTGGCTTTCTCTGCTCTTTCTCTATCCTGAAAAATGGCTCTGATCCTCTCCTCTGTTGGATGGAGGACAACAACATGCCACGGAATAGCTTCCAAGACTGGAATCAAAACTAACATTGAGATTTGCAGGTTTTCATGTTCTTCATTTCCTCTGACAAGGAAGATAAAAGTGTGCTTCAAAGTCTAAGTGAATATGGTCAGGCAATATAACATAACCCAGGTGTTGAGCTCTGCCTAGGAAGGATGTCTTGGCTCTTCATTTATGTGACCTGTCCTTGCACATGTTCCCCAATGATTTCACCAGAAGTTACATTTGCCTCAAAACAGTGACTTCAAACACCACGTTAGATTAATTAGCAAGTCTAAGGAATTTTTCTGCATCACTTAGTAATTCTAAGAAAGCGGGTTTTCACAAATGAATTGTTGGGCAGTGTGATTGGTTCAGTCACCCTCAAAGAGCGAGGCTGTTTTCAATGAATCAGTATAATTAATCAAACAATTTATTTCTCATGCATTACAGAAAGTATTTGACTAATCACTACAGAAAGGTTCTGACTGGCAAATTTATTTATCCCTAAACTGATTTTTTTCAGAAAAGCACTGTTTTCCTTTTTGTTTTATGGACTGATGAAATTTATTTCTGTACAAGTTGCTATGAAGAAAATGAGAGAGGCCTGTTAAAAATATTAACACCTGCATTAATATCTGTAGCCTTCCCTGGCACATATGGTGAGGAAGTGAAATACCTATAGCAAACATGGAGCTGCCTGAACCACTGAGACATAATGTTGATAAATATCTAAACAGCATTTTTATTTTTGAAAGATTGCATAGCTCTATTTTCAGAATCAAAGCAAACATACTTTTAAGTTGTCTGTGAACAGACAAGGATAAGCTAAAAACATCATGACAGAGGCATCTGCATAGACACTCAGTTTGTTAACATTCATATGATAAATTCTGATACCATTGTAGTCTGTCCTTGCAGTCTAATCTGCAGAGCTATGCACTAGAAAATACATTGCAGGCTTTAGAAAATACATTTCTAATCCAAGAATACTCATTATAAGCCTTCATTTCATATACAGTCATTTCTCCATGGCTGAAGTGAGTCATGCAGATCTGCTCACCTGCAGCACACTCTCTTTCTCCCCCAAGTCCAAGGTTAGTGATCTCACACAATGAGTTCTCCCAAGCACATGCGGTATCAGAG